TGGGCTGGAATTGAAGCCAGGCCTCTTACATGCAATTACAACTGTTCCCTGCCCTTAAACAGAAACAATCTTTTATTGTACCAGGCAAGAAGGCTGACTACATGAATGTAGACAGGCCAGCTAGAGAATTTGGTGGTGGAAGGATAATTCTTAGCTGATAACATCTAGTCTCCCATGAATTATAAGGAAAAATTATCAAATGAGGGAGGAGAGTCAATTTGAAGCAAGAAGCTGTGAAATAATTGTCCCTGACAGCGGGAGAGTTAATGACTACTAAGGAATTATTATGTTGTTGTTGTTAAGTGCCGTCGAGTTGGTTCCGACGCATAGCAACACTGTACAGGGATTGTTGTTGTTGTTAAGTGCCGTCGAGTTGGTTCCGACGCATAGCAACACTGTACAGGGTTTCCGAGGGTGTAAATCTTTACGGGAGTAGAAAGCCTCATCTTTCTCCCGCGGAGAGACTGGTAGTTTCAAACCGCTGACCTTAAGGTTCGCAGCCCAATTTGTAACCACTACGCTACCAGAGCTCCTTTCCATTGTAAGGTATAACCAAAAAGCAGTCCAGTGCTGAGGAGTCTTTCTGACTCATAACGATCCTATAGGAGAGTAGAATAGCACTAAATGCTATACATTTTTACAAAAGCAAATTGCCACATCTCTCTCCCAGAGAGTGACTGGTAGTTTTAAATCACCAACCTTTTGGTTAGCAGTCCGGTGTTTTTCCAATGCCACGCTAGGACTCCATTTTAAGGTATATGTTGTTAAGTGCCGTTGAGTTGGTTCCAACCCATAACAATCCTACATAAGGTTTCCAAGGCTGTAAATTTTTGTGGGAGCAAAAAGTCTTATCTTTATCCCACAAAGCTGCTGGTGGGTTTGTACTACAGACCTTGTGGTTCGCAATCCTCTGCAACCACCGCACTCCCATTTTAAGCAGATTCTGACTGATAGGAACCTTGTATAGGATTTCCAAGGCTGTAAATCTTTATGGGAGCAGAAAGCCTTATCTTTCCCCAGTGGAGGGGCTGGTGGATTAGAACAAGCTGACCTTGCAATTAGCAGCCCAACACGTTACCTACCGCACCATCAGAGCTCCTTGACTGAGCACACAGTTGGATTTAATCAGGCTTGGGGTTTTGTCAGGTGCATATGGCAAGAGGTGGTGCAAGGGAGTGGCAACAGTGCCAATCCTTGTTACTTATGCTGGCAAGAAAGGAAGTGAAGGCATGAGTGAGACGAGCGGCCACACATTAAATATTAGTAACTAACTCAGTTGTTGTTTTTTAACACTAAGGGTCTTAATAAAAGAAAGAGTGAATATTTTTCCTTCTAAAACTTATTTGTGGAATTTATTTATTATTCAGTTTTTATTGTTAAGATTTTAATCTAAATAATAAAATCATAATGATTTCTATGAGCAATTTATTCATTGTTAGGAAAATTTAAAAGACAATTAAGGAGCTGTACCAACAGCACATAATTTAAAGCTTTTTCACTATAAAAAAAACTTCAAGCAGATGTAAAGTATTATGAATGGAAATGTGTTCCCCACAAAAAGTTACGTTGAAGTTCTAATCTCTGTACTTGTAAAAAAGGCAGAACAGACATAGAGACTAGACACACGCAGAGAAGACAGATGCCACGTACAAGTCTCTATAACCTAAGAAATGCCAAAGAATGCCAGAATCTGAAAGAAACAAGGATGGATCTTCCCCTGGTGGTGGTTATGTGCCATGGAGTCGGTTCTGACTCATAGCAACACTGTACAGGGTTTCCGAGGCTGTAATCTTTATGGGAGCAGAAAGCCTCATCTTTCTCCAGTAGAACAGCTGGTAGTTTCAAACTGCTGACCTTGTGCAGCCCGATTCATACAGCTTATAGAAAAGAGCAGGTCTAGTCCTGCTAACTCTCTGAACTAGACCTTTAATCTCCAGAACTAGGAGAAAATAAATTCTGTCTAATCATTCTGTGTTGTTGTTTTTTAAGGAAACAAAGACATCCCTCATATATCAATCCTTCATGTATCAACCCCCAGTTTCAAAAATTACCTACTTTCTGCCATTCTTATTTCAGCTAGTCCCTTTTGTTTTCCTCGAGTATTTACAGCAAATCCTAGGTATCAGAACATTTTGTATGTAAATAGTTAATATGTGTTAACAGATAGACTTTTTTTTTTTTAAAAAAAAGGAAACAAACATTAACCACAATACCATTATCACTCAACAAAATTTACAATATTTTAATTTAACTTAATCCCTCGTTTTGTAAGTGCAGTAGAGTTAGTTTTGACTCATAGTAACCCTGTATAGGGTTTCTCAGGAGCGGCTGGTAGATTTGAACTGCCAACCTTGTGGTTAGCAGTCAAGTGCTTATCTTATAGCGTCACACCAGGAGTCCAATATAATACCTAGTACAAGTTTAATTTTCCCAATCATTTCAAAAGTTCTTTTTAGTTGATTACAGTAAAGCCTTGAATGATCAAAATTGTTTGGGAAATAGTATCTTCTAGCAACTATTTGGGAGTCCTGGAGTGGCACTGTTGGGATAAAGCACTGGACCACAAGGCTGGCAATTCAAACCAGCGGCTCCTTGGAACAGACCACTAGGAGTTGGAACAGACTAGACTACAACAACAAATATTTACTTACACTATGTACCAGAACTCCTGGAATGGCACTGTAGGATAAACACTGAACTGCTAATCACAAGGTTGATGATTCAAACCCACCAGCTACTCCTTGGAAACCCTATACAGGGTCGCTGTGAGTTGGAACCAACTCCACAGATCTTAACAAAGGAGTCCTGGTGATGCTGTGGGATAAGCATCACACTACTAACCACAAGGTTTGTGATTCAAACCCACCTGCTGCTTCATAGGCGAAAGATAAGGCTGTTCCCATAAAGACGTAGTCTTAGAAGGACTCATACATGGTCACTATAAGTAAGAATCTATTCGATGGCAATGTTTTTTTGTTTGTTTTACTATGTACCAGAGAAGTCTTAGTGGCAAAGTGGTTTAAAAGCTAGACTGCCAACCACAAGGTAGTGGTTTAAACCCACCATTTGTTCTATGGGAGAAAAATGAGGCTGTCTGCGAAGTGTTAGAAACTCTGTGGAGCAGTTCTACTCTGGCCTATGGAGTCGCTGTGAGTTAGTATTGACTTGATGGCAATGGGTTTGGGGCTCCCATGTATCAGATACTGTGTGGTAGGCAAGCAATGGGGCCTGTAGTGACAAGAAATAATGTAATGTCCCCTGAAAATCATCTCCATGAAAACAAGTGATTAATATATTTCTTCAGAGAGCCAGATGGTGTGGGATCTTACAGTTAGCAGAATTCTGAACTCAAAGAGAAAAGTTCCCACTCCAGACATTTTTACCAACTGAACCAATCTCTTTTACATGTATTTGAACACTACCAAAAAGCAGTTCTAAATAATAGTTTTGAATAATTATTCACCAACTCTTGCATAAAATGTACTGTATTTAGTGCTATACAGAGTTCCAAGGTAGATGGATGAGATCCCTGTCTAAGAAACTTAACTTTAAGCAGAGAAAATAACATACATACACAAATAACCGGAATACAAGACAGAACCCAGAGAGTGTACTTGAGAATAAACTGCTTTCAAAGCACCAAGAGCTCCTGGATTACTGGGGTGGTGGACCTAGGGAATAAAGTGCCAAATCTGGTAAACTTGAAGGGTAATTGAGGATAAAAGAAAGATGACCATCTGAAGCTAAGGAATCAAAAGGCAGTCATTAAATATTGTAGCTCGAAGTGTCCCGAAGGGCACTCCTTTATACTCCTCAGCCCCAACAGGTACCGATCCTGGGCACAGATTATTTTGTTTAAACCATTTAACATTTGTTATGACTACTTTAGGCATTCATTCAGCATAGATACCACAACTTGCAGTACAAATCATTAGTATTTCGTGGGAAAACAATTAGAATATATGAAACACCTACCCTATATTGAATCCCTACATTTTCCTCCACCATTTTGCAATTTCAGAATTAAAGATAATAGTGGTTTTGAAACACCGCCACCACCTTCCACACAATAAGCCAAATCCATTGTCATCAGTTGTTTATAGTGACAGGGAAGGACAGAGAAGAACTGTCTCATGGGGTTTCCAAGGTTGTAAATCTTTACAGAAATATACTGCCACAGCTTTTCTCCCCAAAAGGAACTGGTGGGTTCGAACTCCAGACCTTTTGTTGGCAGCAGAGCGCTTTAATCACTGCGACACCTGGGCTCCTTATTACCACAGTAAACCAGAAAAACAAACCCATTACCATCAAGTGGAGTACGACTCAGTGGTCCTATATATAGGGCCTCTGAAGCTGTAAATCTAGTAATAAATGAACAATCACATGAGATCAGAGTTCAATTATAAAAACTTGCCCACGGTGGCAGGTGCGCCCCTAAAAGTTATTCTTTCTGCCAGGTCCCCAGATAAAGTATGAGGAGATGATAGGCGCTTTTACAATTTATAGAAGTGTCATTGTTTTTCAAAAGCAGGGGCAATTAGGCAACTGCCTAACAACCCGCATCCCTTGGTCTTTTGGTGCCTGTGTTTCCAAACCAAATCCGTTTGGAGCAAAGGCCTAAATGAGCTGCAGAAAAGTCAACTTCAAAAGAATCTGAAAATAAATGATGGGATCCCTTCCGTTTTGCTGGAGCCCGGGTGGCGCAGTGGTTAAAGGATCGTGGTTGGGACTCGCCAGCCACTCGATGCTGTGCCAGTAGACAGCAGTAAAGCCTTGGAAACCCTACAAGGCAATTCTACTTTATTATGTACGGTACCTAAGAGTCCGAGAGGACTGGACGACAGTTTGTTTTTTCCCCCCTTTAGTTTTGCAGTGAGAATCAAATATTCTATGCCTCATAAACGCGGGTTGCGCTGGGTTCCTTCACACCGCATCTGCTCCGGAACTCATTACACCCACCAGCCCAACGGTCTGCACCAGTGAGAGAATTTACACCGTACCCTCAGGTTAGCCCGGAGGCCCAGGCTCTTGGCCAAGTTCTGCAGGTCACTATACTTGAAGGTATCCAAGTCCTCCAGGGAGTGGACGGTCATCGCGACTATCAATCCAGGTGACCACGTAGAGCTGGATCTGTGACTACCTCAAAGCCGTTCAAAAGTCTGGCGCCTCTAAAAGCGTCGACTGAGCAAAAGTTTAAATTAAGAACGCTGCATTTCCATTGGTTAAAAATGTTTTGAAGGCGGTGTTCTCTAGCCTTAACCAATAGAAAGGCTAACTTTCCCTATCCGGCAAATGCTCTTCCTATCCCTCCCTGAGCCGCGGAAGGGGCGTGTGAGGCGTGCCCACCCACGGTAGGCGATGTCCAATGAGAATGCTGGAATTCCGCTTGGGGTGGGGCCTCCTGCACTTTCGAAACTAAGGCGCCGACTGCAGCAAAATGGCGGCTTGTCCCCGGCGGCTTCGATCGTTTTATGCAAAGTTGCCGCGTGGTGAATATTATGTTGGTGGCGCTCAGAATGCTACTGGCGAAAATTCTCTCACGACATCTACAGAGTGGGATACGGAAGTGGTGAAGGGTTCCTCATCATTCGGCTCCGCGGGTCAGGATGCCGAGGAGCCTCAAGCTGCCTATTTGCTGCCGTCGTGGCTGCAGCCAGAGAGATGCGCCGTGTTCCACTGCGCACAATGCCACGCAGTGCTCGCCGACTCGCTGCACCTGGCCTGGGATCTATCGCGGTCCCTCGGAGCTGTGGTCTTCTCTAGTGAGTGCGGGAGTCTTTTAGGGCAAGCGGAAGTGGTGTGTTCAGGTTTTCTCCATCTGGTGGTCTTCCGCCCATTTGGGAAGACGGGATGAAGATTTGGAAGGGCCCTTTGCTAGTGGAGCGTTTTTTGTTTTTGTTTAATGTCTTGGCCACAATGAGTTTGTAAGGGAAGAGGTTTTCCTCTGCAAAGTCCGCAGAGGTCCGGATTCTGAACAATGTTTGTTTTCTTAGGAGTCACGAATAACGTTGATTTAGAAGCGCCCTTATTGGTTGGCATTGAAGGTTCACTCAAAAGCAGGTAAATACTGGGAAATCCCGATGGGTGTCTAGTCTCTACTTGAGACTTAAAACCGATGCGGACAAGGAAAAAAGTTAGTTCTGTCTTGCGCTAGACGAAAAAATGTATTTCATTCGTTGTTGCTGAGTGCCGTCGAGTCGCTTCCTACTCATAGGGACCCTGTATAGCGTTTCCGAGGCTGCTTCGCAGGATCCCAAAGCCTCTTCCACGGAGCTGCTGGCCAGGTCGAACCGCGGACCTTGTGGTTTGTAGTCCAGTGCTTATCATGTGGAACCTTCATAACAATATACAATGTATTTGAAGGATGCTTCTTTTACAAGATACATCTTGTATGAACTTGATGTATCTATGAAACGAAAAATTTCTTTTTGTGTGTAGTTTTTGAGATCTTTCTGAGGGCCACATCTCCCTAGTGGTGTGTGCAAGGACCTAAGAAAAGAAAGTCAGGGAGCTTGAGAAGGTTTGTGAGAAAATTCCAATAATTAATTAATAAGCTATACAGAAATTTCTAATTTGTTTGGAATTAGGAAACTGGAGAAAAACACAAGTCAATTATTGTGTGTTGTTGTCCAGTGCAAACCAACTCAAGTTAGCGTCTTGTTTTTCAGAGTAGAGCTAAAACTCCTTAGGAGTTTTAGTGACTGATCCTAGGAAAGTAAATTGCCAGGCCTTGGTAATATGGTGTCACTTGGTGGATTTCAGCTACCAAACCTGCAATTTGGTAGTTGTGCAGTTTGCACCACCCAGGAACCTAATGTACTTGGACGTTGTGTGCCCTCTAGTCATTCACGACTCATACACCTGATAAAGTAGTGGATTACAAGCTGGGCTGCTAAGTGCAAGGTCAGTAGTTCAAATGTACCAGTTGCTCCATGGGAGAAAGAGACTTTCTAGTCCTGTACTGACTACAGAAACCCCCAGTGCTTATCCTGTAACACCACACCAGGACTCTAAATGTTCTGTTGTTGTTAAGTGCCATCGAGTCGGTTCTGACCCATAGAAACCCTGTATAGGGTTTCTGGGAGACGAATGGTGATCTTGAACTGCCAACCTTGTGTTTCAAACCATTTTGCCATCCAGCATATTAACCCACAGTGCCACACCAGGACTCCAAATGTTTTATTTGTTGTTGTTAACTGCTGTCGAATTGGTTCTGACCCATAGTGACCCTGTATAGGGTTTCCAAGGAGCAGCTGGTGAGCTTGAATCACCAACCTTGCAGTTAAAACTATTTTGCTGTCTGATGCATTAACCCACAGTACCACACCAGAACTCCAAATGTTTTATTCATGCTAAAAAAGTAAAAAGAAACAGGTGAAGTTAGTTGTAATAAATTTTATTTAATTCAGTATATCAAAAGTATCAGTTTAATATGTAATCAATATTTTAATAATGTATTATTTTTTCTTTCTTTTTAAAAAACTTTCAGAAATCAAGGGTTTCTTTTGTATTTAAAGCATACCTCACAATGTTAAGTCTTCCTATCCAGGAGCGTGGTACATTCTTCCATTTTTGTAAGTCTCTTTTGGTTTCTTATAGTAGTGTTTTGTAGTTTTCTTTGTACAAGTCCTTTGTTTCTCTGGTTACATTTATACCTAGATATTTCACCCTTTGGGTGGCTATTGTAAATGGTATTGCTTTCCTAATGTCCTTTTCAACGCTGTTGTTTTTGGTATAGAGGAATCTAACTGATTTTTTTATGTTGATCTTATATCCTGCCACTTTGCTGAATCTTCCAATGAGGTCTGGTAGCTTTTTTACTGAATCTTTGGGGTTTTCTACGTTTAGGATCATATCATCTGCAAATAGAGTTTTACTTCCTCTTTGCCAATTTGGATGCCTTTAATTTCCCTGTCTTGCCGTATAGCTCTTGCTAAGACTTCCAGCACAATATTGAATAGGAGTGGTGAGAAAGGGCATCCTTGTCTGGTGTGAAGGCTTTCAGTTTCTCTCCATTGAAAGTAATCTAGGCTGTTGGTTTTGTATATATATATATATATATGCTCTTAATTGTGGAATTTCCCTTCAATTCCTTTTTTTAAATTTTATTTAAGGTTTTTATTGTGGATTGAGTAAAAGTTTACAGGGCAAATCATCAGTTGTACATTCAACAAAGCATACACCTTGTTTCATTACAAGTCAATTCCTATTTTGTTGAGTGTTTTTATCAGGAATGGATGTTGGATTTTGTCAAATAACTTTTCTGCATCAATTGATATGATCATGTGGTTCTTTTCTTTTTTCTTATTTATATGGTGGATAATGTTGATCGTTTTTCTAATGTTGAACCATCCTTGCATCCCTGATATGAATTGCTTTCCTAATGTCCTTTTCAACGCTGTTGTTTTTGGTATAGAGGAATTTAACTGATTTTTGTATGTTGATCTCATATCCTGCCACTTTGCTGAATCTTCCAATGAGGTCTGGTAGCTTTTGATCATGATGTATTATCTTTTTGATGTGTTGCTGCATTCTGTTGGCTAAGATTTTGTTGAGAATTTTTGCATGTATGTTCATGAGGGATATTGGGCTATAATTTTTTTTTCTTAGTGACCTTCTTCCCTGGTTTGGGTATGAGGGTTATGCTTGCTTCATAAAATGTATTAGAAAGTTATCCATCCTCCTCTATCTTATGGAATAATTTGAGTAGAATTGGTGACAGCTCTTCCCTGAATGTTTGGTAGAACTCACCAGTGAAGCCATCTGGGCCTGGACTTTTTTTGGTTGGGAGTCTTTTGATGACTTGATCAATTTCTTCTTTTGTTATGGGTCTTTTCAGGTTTTCTACTTCACTGTATGTAAGTGTAGGTAGGTCATGTTTATCTAAAAATATATCCATCTCTTTCTTCTAAGTTTTCAAATTTGTTGGAGTACAACTCTGCTTACTATTGTTATTATTGTTTTGATTTCCTTTGGTTCTGTTGTGACATCGCCCATGTGGTTTCTAGTGCGTGTTATTTGTGTCTTCTCCCTCTTTTGTTAGGTTTGCCAGTGGTCTGTCAATTTTGTTAATCCTTTCAAAGAACTAGCTTCTTGTCCTATTGATTCTTTCTATAGTTTTTCTGTTTTCTATCTCATTTATTTCTGCTCTAATCTTTATTATTTCTTTTCTTTTGGTGACTGTAGATACCCCCTGTTGGTCTGTTTTTAATTGTTGGAGATGCTATGTTAATGTGTTAATTTTGGTTCTTTCTTCTTTTTGGATGTGTGAGTTTATTGCAATAAATTGTCCTCTCAGCACTGCTTTCGCCATGTCACAAAGATTTTGGTATATTGTGTTTTCGTTCTCATTTTTCTAGGAATTTTGTGAATTCACATTGAATTTCTTCTACTACCCAGGTGCTTTTCAGCAAGGTGTTACTCAGTTTCCATGTATTTGACTTGATTTCCTTGGTCTTTGGATTGTTGATTTCTAATTTGATAGCATTGTGGTCTGAGAAGATGCTTTGTAGTATTTTGATATTTCTAAATTTATGGAGATTTGTTTTGTAGCATAAGACATGGTTTATTCTGGAGAATGTTCCATGTGAACTGAAAAAGAATGTGTATTGTGCAGTTGTTGGGTTGAATGCTCTGTACACATCTATGAGGTCCAGTTGGCTGATTGTGTTGTTTAGTTCTTCTGTGTCTTTGTCAAGTTTCTTTCTGATCGTTCTATCCATTTTTGAAAGCAGTGTATTAAAATCACCCACTATTAATTGTAGATTCATCTATTTCTTTCTTCAAATCTGTTAGAGTTTGCTTTATATATTTTGGAGATCTTTCTTTGGGAGCATAGATATTATAGTTAATGTAATCTTGTTCAGTTGTCTCTTTAATCATGAGATAATGTCCATCTTTATCTATTATGCTGATTTTTGCCTTAAAGTTTATTTTATCAGAGACAAGTACTGCCACTCCTGTTAGTTTTTTATTGCAATTAGCCTGGTGTATTTTTTTCCCATCTTTTGACTTTTAATCTGTTTTTGTCTCTGTGTGTGACATGTGTCTTGCAGACAGCATATTGAAGGATCTTGTTTTCTTATCCATTCTGCTACTCTTTGCCTCTTAACAGGTGCATTTAATCCATTTACATTCAGTGTAATTATCAATAGGTATGGATTAATTGCTGCCATTATGTTTGTTTTTTGTGGTGTTGCTCCTTTCTTTGTTCTGTGTGTCTTCCTTTGTTGAGTTCATGCTTTTTGTGTTCTTTTGACTACTGCATCCATAGGTGTAGGTCAAGTTCATCAAACTGTATCAGATTACTTTTTTTCCTCTTCTTTCTTCTTCTAGTTGAATTCTGATCATCCAGCTATTGAAGCCAGGTCAAGTGGGTATTATCTGCAAGTGTGGGTGTTCTATGCATATACCTTCACTTCTTATCACCTGGACGTTTCACTCTCCACTCTAGTCCTCTGTGGCTGTCACTGACTCTGGGCCCTGGATTCCCATGGTTCATTAACTTTTGATACCCCTTTATAGATGACTTGATTGTTGTTGTTTTAGGTTGCTTGATTGTTGTTTTGTTATTAAGTGCTACAGAATCCATTCTGACCCATAGCAACCCTATATTGGGTTGAATCCATTCTGACCCATAGCAACCCTTTTTTCCAAGGAGCATCTGGTAAGCTTGAACCACTGATGTTGTGATTCAAAATGACAGTGCCGCAGCAGGACTCCAGATGGCTTGTTAGGGTAGTAGAATTTCTCTTCTTTCCTTTGCATTTAATTTTTTAGTTTAATAAAGGTCCACACAAGACAATCCCTGATTTGATTTATATGAGTGAATTGCTTTGTGAGCCCCCAATCAAATTATCTTTCCTTGATGGTGGTGGTTGTGTGTCGCCAAGTTGGTTCTGACTCATAGTGATCCCTTATAGGTTTCCAGGAGTCCTGGTATGGTGCTGTAGGATAAGCACAGGACCAAAAGGTTGGTTTAAACTGCAAGGTTGACAGTTCAAACTCACCAGCAGCTCCTCAGAAGCCCAATACGATGTTGCTATGCACTTAACAACAACAATAGGGTTCTGAGGCTGTAAATCTTTATGGAAGCAGAAAGCCTCTTTTTTCTCCTGTGGAGTGGTTGGTAGATTGAAACTCCAAACAGCTCTTAATCCACTGTGCTACCAAGACTACTTGGAAATTGGTATAATGGTAACAAATTTATGTGATGATTCATAGGCTTAAATGTTTGAATTGTTTATCTGATTTAACACTTTACAGTTGTAAATAACTCTTCTGTACTGAAATGACAGTGGTACATTCATGATTGCTTTCATACCAAAATCAACAAGGTTAACTGATCAGCACTGGACTTCGAACCACAAGGTCGCCAGTTCAAACTCACCAGGAAACCCTATACAGGGTCGCTAAGAGTTGGTACCAACTCAACAGCACTGAAGATCAAGGTGTAGTTATAATGCGAGTTGACTTTTCTTGTACATGACATTTTTTCCATTGTAACATGTATTTCATCTTTGTCTTAGGCCATAGTACTTATTTGTTCTCAGATTTCCTTTCTTATTCTTTGTTTTTTCTCTCCCTTCCTCCCCTCCCACCCCCACCACAGCATTTACAACCTTTTATTCTGTAGTTCCTGTGGGAGTGCCATTGGTTTCCATCTGTATTCCACACATGCTACTTTTGCTGCCTTGAGAGGTCACTTTTGCCTTTCCAGTGACAAAATGGTGTGGTGAGTAGACGTAAATATTTTTATGAAATAAAATTTAAATGATCTTTCAGAAAAGGCAGTGTTTGTACCAAAAAGATGCTGAAACCAAATATTGTCTCTTACAAAGATGACTATGGGACCAATTATAATGTCAGAAGTATATTATGATAATTTAGTTCTGTAGAATCATTTATTCTCTCATTAAAGAAACTTCTAGAAGATAAACTTTTTTGTGTGTGAATTAGTGAAAGGTTACAGAGCAAATCATCATTTTTACATTCAACAAATCATATACTTCCTTTCATCTCAGTGATTGCACAATCCCTTCAAGGTAATATCACTTGTCCCACTCTCTCCTGGTTTATTGTTTGCATTCCTCTTTTGCCCCTACCCCTTCTGAACTTTGTCATTGAGAGTAAATACTGTCCTTTTGACTTTGAATGGGTGACCATTCTATTGTGTGCATGTCTCACTAGTGTTGTGCTCTCTATATACCTATCTATTGTTTGGTTGAAAATTGAGCCAAGGCGGTGAGTTCAGCTCCTGACTAAAAGGTGACCAAGGGCCATAGTCTTGGGTTTCCACCAATCTCTGTCTAACTAGTAAGTGTGATCTTTTTTTATGATTGTGAGTTTTGTTCTACACTTTCACTTTATCCAGGATCTTTTAACATGATCCTTTTCAAAGCAATTGGTAGTGGCAGCCAGGCACCATAGAAGGTAAACTCTGCCAAAATAATTTTGTAGTAGATTCCTTTTGGATTTGTGTCTAGCTCATATCTCCCTCCCATAATGTGAAAATCTGTATCACTCATGTGATGGAATCAACAAGTGAGTATCTGACACATACACAATCAGGTTTTCTGTTCTAGGAATTTGAAATAAGCATCCAGATACTGGTATTTGCTAATGATATGAATAATGAAGTTGGGAAATGAAAGCTGTAGATTTCAGGTACCTGTATTCTACCTTATGTACATGTTTTTGTTGTTCTTAACTGCCATTGAGTCAGTTCCAACCCATACTGACCCTATAGAGGGTTTTTAAGGAGTGGCTAGTGAGCTTGAACTGCCACCCTTGAAGTTCAAACTGACTTTGCAGTCCAGTGCATTACCCCACAGCGGCATACCAGGACCTTACGTATATAGATGCAGAGAAATCTTTTCTGTAGAAGAAGAAGAATTCAGAGGTACATAGAAAAAAGTAAAAGTATGATGACTGTGTGGTCTCCAGAGTTAGAAAGAATAATATAATAACAATTCATTGAGAACTTCGTTTATACCAAACATTATGCTTATTTCACTTAGATTTAATGTAAGAAAACTGGGATTCAGAGAAGCAGAGGAGCTGGGATTTGAATCCACTTCTTAACGCCAATGCTCATTTTTCTTCATAAAATATAAAGGCATCCTTTTTCTCATTTATTATATAGATATTTCTAGCAGAGTTTTTGATGACTTAAGTAAAAACTTAGAAATAAAGCCCATTTTTTACCATGATGATGTTCAGTGTGTACTAGATATACCAGTTAGTCTTTATTGAAATTATTTTGCAGGAAAATATGTACTTGAGATGGATTAATGTTCTACTGTCAATTTCTAGTTTCAGTATTAAATAATTTCTGCTTAAATGTAAGTTTAACAAGAGATAGAGAAACAAAATATCTCTTAAGTATGTGGTATTTGTTGTTGTTAAAAGCCATCAAGTTGGTTTCAACTCGTAACAACCTTATATGGAGTTTCTGACGAGCACCTGGTGGGTTTGAACTGCTGACCTTGTGATTTGTAGTCCAGTGCTTATGCTATAGTGCCACACCAGGAGTCTGTCTGTGTGCTAGTAGGTTCTGACCCATAGCATCCCTGTATAGGGTGTCTGAGGAGCAACTGGTAAGCTTGAACCACCGACCTTGCAGTTGAAACCGACTTTGCAGTCCAGTGCATTAACCCACAGCACCACACCAGCTATTAGTAATGTGAAGTCTTATTTTAGAACCAGCAAAGCTATAATTGAGTTTTGCTTTGGGCAGTAAGCCTTTAATAACAAATAAAAAACAAATATGAAAGCATTTTGGGATTCCTGAATAATTGTTTAATCTTTAAAATGAGGAGGTAGAGCCAAATGTTGGTACACTCATTTTTGATAAGTAGAACCTGGAAAAGTGTAGATAACATGAATCTAGAAAGATAATAATCTATATTCCTGTACCTGAGAAACATTTTGGGTGCTAGTGACAGAAAACCCAACTAACATTAACAAGTAAGAGTGGGTGTCAGCTCTAGGAGTTTTATAGTGCCTTAACAGTGCCAGGGTTCTAAGTCAGCATCCTTTTGACTATCCTGGAGGCAGGATGGCTGCTGTAATTAAGTGTTACATCAGTAGGTGATACTTCTTCAACAAAAATGGAAACATATGGAGAATGTGGAAGGACAAATTTTTCCATAATCTTATTGTTCAGATCAATGTCACATGGCCATTGAAAGCTGGGAAATCAAATATGTGACAGGAAGAAGTGAGCATGGTGACAGATTGGCAAGTATTTGCCACAACGTGATTATTTTTCTTCTAACTATTCTACAGGATATACAGGTGGAGTGTGATACTTAAACTCATCCTGATTATTCATTCATATGAGCCTGGTTTTTCTTTTTATTTTATTCTCAGATAATTTTGATTCATATTCCTGGATGGGAAGGGTAGGATGAGGTATAGACTAATTATTTGAATTGTCTTTGTACCATGTTAATTGAGGATTTATTTTTCTACCAAAATATATCATATGTCTTGAAGTAGAAATAATATAGAAGCAGGCTTTGATTGACATATTTGCTTTAGAGGAGAATTTTGTTTCAATGATAGTCTTAATTCACATATAGTACTAACATTTTTTACTTTTTCTTTTTTGTTTAGCTACCTCTTAAAAACAAAAGCCATAGTAAATGCATCTGAGGTGGATATTTACAACGTACCCCTAACAGAAAAGATCGCAGAGGTAAAGTTTCATATTGGTTGTGTGGTTCCGTTTTTTAAGTTTTTATTGTGAATTGAGTGAAAGTTTACAGTTTTTACATTCAACAAATCATATACTTTGTTTCATTCCAATGATTATAATCCCTTCCATGTACCATCAGTTAACAGTATTTCTCTGTATTCATTTTAGCACTTTTTTTTTTAAAACACTCAGGCATATATAATAATTTACACCAACAAAGGGCACATTCTGCAAGTCTACCTCCTGGCCACCTGCTCTCAGTCCGTCTCTTTCCATGAATCTAGAGTCCTCTGCTGCTCCCATTCTCCATGTCTCCATTTCTGCCTCCATCTCTGGTGTCGCTGCGTCTCTGGATAAGGTCCCGGATTCCACTTGTGCTCTTCTCCCTTGATGGTCCTATGGTCCTCTGTTTATGGAGTATAAGATTAACTACTTCCCCGTTTTTGTTCCAAAACTTCTATCTTTACAATGGTGACAGTCCCAATTAGTCATGATAATAATTTCACACTATTGAATCATAAGAATTTTATCCCCATCTCTTTTTACCAGACCCTTCTACTCAGTGGGGACTCTATCTTCCCCCACACACTCTTAATCTAAACTCCCTCTTGAGACCTTGTAAGCTAGTCACTTTGTGCCTTTATCGCCCCCTCATTTTAGATAGCCAATGTCTAAGTTGCCCATCCCTGTCTTCTGTGTATACAGATGGGATAGCATTGAAACTTGATGTGAAGACTTTCTTCCCTCTGTTGGTATATTGAGCTACTACCTCCATAAATATAGGTCAAGTGCATCAAATTTTAGCAAGTTACACTCGTTTCCTATATCAAAACTTCCTTTTTTATCTTCATCTAGTTGAATTCTGATTATCAAGCCATCGAGGCTAGGTCAAATGGGTATTACCTGCAAGTTTGGGTGTTCTTGTGCATCTCCCCTCACTTCATAATATAGACAGCTTTTGCTAGTTTGTACCAGTGTTTTAAAACAATCATCTAAATTAGGACCAATGGTCAGAAGTTGCTCTACAGCAGAAATGAGAAGTTAGAGGTGGAAGAAGACTAGATTACTGGAAACCAAACAACTAGAATGGAAATAATGAGAATTTGACATATGAAGAATGTAAGCAGTATCAATGAACAGTATGTGTAGAAATTATTGAATGAAAACTTGGTTTGTTATACTTTCATCAAAAATAGAATAAAATATTTTTTAAAGCAATTATATAAAACCGTATGTATGTAATTGTCTCTTTTGGCTTATTAAATTGAGGAACAATAGCAACAAAAACATGAGACATACAAGAAGTGCCTAGTTACAAACGAGATCTATTACTGTCTATAAGAATTTCTAAGTCAGTTAGAACAGAAGCATAAAGTTCTTATTTCACCTTACTTTAATTCAAGAAAAGGCATGAAGGCTTTTCAATGATTTAAAAACTGCATATGCAAGAAAAGAAGATGATTGTGATGAAGTTGTGAGTAGGGGTTGATTCAGTTGTTTCAGAGTGAAGGCAAATTTACATAAACATAGAATGGATTTTGAGCTAAAACATTACTATCCTACTCAAAGATGACAGTTGACCATGGTGCTTTGATTGTGTGTGCTCTACATGATCTTGCCAATAATCCAGTCTCACGCATTGGGTTCCTAAAGAAGGGCTAACTCTTCTGAGGTTCCCATTTAGGTCTGCAACTCATAATTTTGACCATTTTGGTTACCACAACAAATCACCCAGATTGTAAACATTCAGGTCAGTTCTTGTTTTGCTTTGTTGGCCATGACAGAACTGGTTTGAAGCAATTTGAAGCTCTGCTAAAAGGGCAGGTGGGAGTAAGTCATATGTTCAAAACCTGGGGACTAGGGCTGAGAGTGAAGTGGCCAGCTGGTCTGAAGTGCAAGAAGGTGTGCAGGAACTCCCAAATTTGTAGCTAGTAACCATTTGACCTAACTTGGATGACTAGTTGACCAGAACTCAAACTGAGGAAGATAAAAATGTTTGGTACTATAAAAAAAGTGTAAATTGCTACAATTTGATGAACTAGACTTTTGCCTATGAATGACAACTGGAATGGAAGTTTTCTTATCAATAACAACCTTGTTTCTTCAGTATACTGGGTTGACAGCGAAATTTAGGCATTGGTTATCAAAAATTGGGGGACTATAAAAGCATGAAGTGGCTGGTTACAAGCTTTCATAAATGTGCTTACTTTCAGAAAGAGGGGGTAAGGTAGAATCCCCACTGAATATTCCCTCTTTGCCAGATGAATCTGGTGAAAGGGGGTGAGGAATGATAGTGATAGGATTTTATAACTCAATTGTGAATAATTGTTCACTGCAATCATCACAATTATAGGTGTGTAATTAAAGGTGGGGGGAAGTAGTTAATATTTCATTTCAGGAACAGATGATCCCAAGACCATCAAGAAGGCAGAGTACTATTGGAGCGTGAGATACTGATCTGGAAAAGTGACGACAGCAGAAAGGGTGGCAGAGGCAGTGGCATGGAGAGACAGAGCCGTTGCAGGATCTAGGTCCATGAGCTGAGAAAAGGCTGTGTGACTGGGCAGGAGGCTGGTTGGCAGATTGTGCCCTTTGGACATTTAAATCAATATATATTTTTTGTTTTGTAAGTGTAAAGTAAAAAAATAAAAGTGACTTGAACAACTAGGGAGAATATCAGCAAGTAAACCAAAGACTTGAACAACACTACTAACTAGATCTAACATATATCTTAATGAAACTAGTATCTTAAAACATATGAGCTGCTATCTAAGGTGCAACTGTTGGTCTCTTCCTGTCTGAAGGAAAGAAGAGTGATGAAAATTGAACATGCTTGGAAACAGTTAGTCCAATATATATGTGAACATCAGTCTCTATGACCTGATACCAGAAGAATTAGATACGGCCTGGGTATTATTACCAACTGCTCTGAAAAGAATCACATTTGAAGTTTCTAGATAGGGTGATAGAAAATCCCCCTCCCCCCAAAAAAAGACCAGGCTTATTCATCATATGAAAACTGAGGGAGACGTCGAAAATTGCTACAGCGTCCTCAGCCACTTTCGAAACAGCTCCCAAAACTTGTCTGCTCAATAGTCATCCTTGGCCACATGGTGGCTTCTCATTACAAACACCAAGGATTCTTCAGTAATGCTGTTTACAAGAGACATACCAGAAATATGAAGACAGCGTAAGTAGCCATCAACAAAAGAATGGTTAAACAAACTTTGGTATATACACACAGAATACTACAAAACATTGAGGAATAATGATGAACCTGTGAAACACCTCACAATGTGGTTGAACCTGGAGGACATTATGCTAAGTGAAATTAGTTAATCACAAAAGGACAAACATTGTATGAAACCAATGTATAAAAAGTTTTTTAAAGGTTTTCTTGATAAAAGATACAATGTATGATGGTTAAGAGAGGGAAAATTATTCATGGGCTGGAGAGTGGTGGTGGTGGCAGTGTGCTTTAGAATCAGTTCTGACTCATAGTGACCCTATTCCAAGCATGTCCTGAGTTTCCGAGGCTATAAATCTTTACAGGAACAGAAAGCCTCATCTTTCTCCCGTGGAACCATTGACCTTGAGATTAGCAACCTGACTTGTAACCACTACACTACCAGAGCTTCTTGGGCTAGACCGTAAACACATGTTAACATTAGTGACAGGTCAGGGAATATACAAGAGGGAGGTTGGCAGAGGAAAGATAAAGATAGTGGAAGACACAGTGGAAGGCAAGAGTTAAAGTGAACAGAGGTAAATAATGTTAACTGTTGGTACATGGAGGGTATTGCAACCATGTAGTGAAGAAAAGTGTGTGGTTTGTTGGGTGTAAAACTAATGATCTGCTCTGTAAACCTTTCAATTCTCAACGAAAAGTTTAAAAAGTAGACACAAAAACTAATGGAACCCCGAGATTATGGCCCATGATCACCCTTCAGATCTGAAACAACTCACCTCTGTGGCTCAATTTTCAGCCAGAGAGTGAAAAGGTCTATAGGGGAGCACCAGCACTAATAAGATACCCCTCATAGAATGGTCACTTATTCAATCAAAGAGGGAAGCATTTGACCTAAGGACAAATTCAGAAGGGTGGGGAGAGGAGGAGAAAACAGGGAAGAAGGAAGATAAGTGATGTTATATTGAGGGGATTATATGATTTGTTGAATGTAAAGCTGATGATCTGCTCTATAAACCTTTGCTCAATTCACAATAAAAAAAGAACAGAATTGTTACTAGGGTTCCAGCTGATACATACATAGGTTTATTCCAAACCACACATGTTTAAGCATATCTTTGTGATCAGTGGATGACTGTAGATAAGGTCTCACGATAATGCACTTAAACTCATTGTTGTTAACTACCATTGAGTTGGATCCAACTCATACCAAGTGTGCATAGCAGAATGAGACACTGCCCAGTCTTGCTTCATTCTCACAGTTGTTATGTTGGAGCCCATAGTCGGGGCTCCGATGTCAATCGATTTCATTGAGAGGCTTCCTCTCTCTTTCTTTTTTTAAAGCTTTTATTGCAAATTGAGTGATAGTTTTCATGGGAGAACATCAAATTTGTACTCATCCTATCAAATTTTGTTTCATTGCAATGATTACAGTCACCTCCATGCATCATTATTTAACAGCATTTGCTTCTATTCCCTCTGTTTTGTTTATATACACAAAAACACACAGGAATATATAATCACTTAACCAACCAAAGGGCATATTCTGCAAGCCTGCCTCCTGGCTGCTAACACACAACCTTTCTCTTTCTCTAGAGTCCTCATCTGCTGTATCTCTGCATGCCCTACCATATGTCTCCATCTCTGATATCACTGCTTCTCTGGATAGGGTCCCACATTCCACAAATGATCTTCTCCCTTGATGGTCCTAGGGTCCTTTGTTTCTGGAATATAAGATTAACTACTCCCCCATTTATGTAACAAAACTTCTACCTTTACAGTTGTGATAGTCACAGTTAATTATAACAATTAC